ATTCATTCATTCATTTTCTTGTCGGCTTAGTCCCTTTATTAATCCGGGGTCGCCACAGCGGAATGAACCGACAACTTATCCAGCAAGTTTTTACGCAGCGGATGCCCTTCCAGCTGCAACCCATCTCTTGAAAACATTCACACACACACTCATACACTACGGACAATTTAGCCTACCCAATTCACCTGCAGCATGTCTTTGGACTGTGGGGGAAACCAGAGCACCCGGAGGAAACCCACGCGAAGGCAGGGAGAACATGCAAACTCCACACAGAAACGCCAACTGAGCCGAGGTTCGAACCAGCGACCTAGCGACCTTCTTGCTGTGAGGCGACAGCATTACCTACTGCGCCACTGCCTCGCCATATTTTGATCAACATGACATCAGCAATTGATAATGTAGGAAACATCAGAGAATTACACTACCATTTGCATGCATGCGCAAAAGCATTTGCAACTTGTTCAAAGGAATGACAAACTGCTTTTCTGATGTGCACAAGTGACACAATGATCTGAAGATTAAACATGGAGTTTTAAGAATTTCAATTCTGATATGAAAAATGGATCAAAGTGACTGAAGAAAGACTGTAGTAAAAATAATTGAGAAAAGACAAAAACCGAAAATAAACATAACCTCAGCAGGACTAGTTGCAATCAACTCCGGCAGAGGACTCCAAAGCTAAAATTCCTGAATGACTGACCTCTTTATTTCTCCTGAAATAAATTGATAAAGTGCTTTTGCATTCCCCTCGTGTACTATATCATTGTTAAGTGTTGTGAAATGACTCCGATTTCTAACAAATACTTCTTAATGTTACTGCTAAACGTATCAGGGAGCACCTTAATGTCAAATTGACATAAAAAATCATATGAAATGCAAATCGATTTGACGTCAGTTGACCACCTTGATGTTAACACAACAGAAAATTAGTATAAAAAACACATTAAAAATCAACTATAGGACTGACATTTAATCAATATTTGATGGGTTTTTTATAACAACATTTTAATTTGATTGTTTTGTTGTTTTACATGTATTGTAGCGATACGAAATCTAGTGTCAATTTGTAATTAAAGATTCCAGATGAATAAAACTTTTAATTCATTCATTCAGTCATTAATGAATGACTGAATGAATCGGGAGAGAACCCCAGACTTCCCTCTCCCTAGACACTTCCTCCAGCTACTCCAGAGGGGCCCTGAGATGTTCCCAGGCCAGCTGAGAGACGGTCCCTTCTGCGTGTCCTGGGTCTTCCCCGAGGCCTCCTCCCGGTGGGACATGCCTGGAACTCCTCCCTAAGTAGGCGTCCAGGAGGCATCTGAAACAGATGCCAGAGCCACCACAGCTGACTTCTCTCAATGTGGAGGAGCAGCAGATCTACTACGAGCTCCTCCCACATGACAGAGCTCCTTACGCTATCTATAAGAGTGCGCCCTGCCACCCTGCGAAGTAAACTCATTTCGGCCGCTTGTATCCGAGATCTTGTCCTTTCGTTCATGACTCAAAGCTGATGAGCATAGGTGAGAGTATGAGTGTAGATTGACTGGTAAATCGAGAGCTTTGCCCCTAATGCCCCTGGTAGGGTCTCCTAAGGTAACAAGGTCTTAGGTGACAGGTTAGACTAAGGGTGCTTTCACACCTGTGAATCGTTTCAGTTGTTCCGAAACAGCGATTAATATTGTTGCTCTTTGTTCTTGGTGTGGTTCGCTCTCACACGGCAAAGTTTCTAAACAGACCAAAATAGCTAAAACAAGTCACGTGTGAGTAAACTCTCCTCACATTGGTCAGATTTTCACAGTTTATTTTGCAGAGTCCCACTCCGCGTGACGTGTCTGAAGAGCGAACAGGGATGCGGTGGGGAGGGGTGAGAAGGGTGAGCAACATATTTGAGGACCGGGAGGAAGACGCGCAATTACTGGGGGATGATCACTCGTTTGCAGGCATTCAGGAGTCTCTGTGCATTTGCTGGAGACTCCTGAAACTTCTGGGAGACTTGGGATGTCTGAGATGACCTCCCACCCTACTCATAATTCTCTCTTTATATAGCTGTATGCCTATTACATATCCATAAAACACTGTGACAAAGCCAGGCTCAGATCGTATCGCTTTCTCAATACAATCGATCAGCTCCAGAGTTTGTTTCAATCGAGCCGAGACCACCTTATTCAGGAAATCTCGGACAAATTGATTTGGTGCGGATCCGAGCGCGATTGCTGGATTCAAAAATGCCAAACAAACCGCGCTAACTGGGCAAACGAGACAGGTTCCAAAACAAAAGTCTAGGTGTGAAAGCAACCTAAGGGCGTACTCCCACTATGCAGTTGCCTCGAACCGGGCCAAAGCACACTTGTCCCCCCTCCCTTCTCCCCCGACGGCCCGCATTCAGACCACAATCAAGCCTGGGCACGCTTACGTCATCGACACTGCGCTGTTCAGTAGAGAAGCGCTCTCGCTCAGCACAGTGGATATTTCTCTAGTTATATTGTTTCAGTCGTTTGATATGGTGTCAAATATTTCGCCAAACAGTCCTTAGGGATGCGGGGACACGCAGTCAGATATTTCACCGAACAGATCCACCACTTTTAGCGCTCAAACAATCATAAAGCCCTCGTGCTGCAGAAATGAGGAGGTTTGCTGAAGGCGTGCAGATGTCGTGCAGTGAGAGATTTGCGTCTTTAATCAACTACGGCAGTTTGCGTTCATTGAACAGTAAGAATGATTAATAAATCCATATGAAACAGTCCTTTAAAAGTCACGTCTCGCTTTCAGTTTCGAGCTTTGGCGCGTTTTGCACTCACACACAAGCGTACCACATTAAAGCCCAAGTGAACCGCGCTCAGGCACACCTCTTCCAACCTGGCTAGGGCCGGCCAAGTGAACCGTGCTTGAGCCCGATTCAGCGCACTCACACTGCTCAAACAATCCGGGAAACGGGCCTTGGCACGGTACGGATGGCATAGCGTGAGTAGGCCCTCAGTGTGTGGTTTAAAAACCCTTTATGATCGCTAAAAGATCAAGGATCGTGACATCGCCCGGTATAGCACAGCCAGGGCTCCAGCCTGGAGCCAAGCCTGGGGTTGGGGCTCGAATGTGAGCGCCTAGTGGTCGGGTTTTATTCTAGCCCGAAGGAGTGACATGGGACTATCCAGATGGTGATCAAAGGTTTGGAACACAACAACCTGATCGTCTGACACAGAAACTGGCTCTTGGCACAAATAAAACTTTTCTTATATTAAAATTCTTTTTGTGTCATTATATTGATAGTTAAAAGAGCATCAGTGTGTGGACATCAAATGAACATCAAATCAATTCGCATTTTTGATGCAGTTTTTGACGTTTTTTTAAAAAGGTGCACCGATCACACACAAAAAATTTACATAATTTATCATTTACATAGAATGGGGAAATTCAGTGAATATACTATCATAACAGCTATTCGTTGTTAGATTTTGCAATTTTTATATTTATTTCTTGCTTTACCTGAATTTTGTGTTAAACCTCAATTTACCCATATCGAAATCCGATATATGGCAATATATGCATGCATATCAGATTTTTAATATGTGTAAAACCCAAAGTCTTTAACAGAAGCATGATGAAGCAGTCTTCATGCCGCTGCTTCACATCTCTGGCTGAACAGCACCTCCACAACTTTAGGGTCCGCCAGTGTAGACAGGTCACCCAGCTCTTTTTCATTGCGAGCGATCTGTCGTAGAACTCGTCGCATGATCTTCCCTGCCGCATGGGCAAATAAAAGCATGAGTTTAAAATGCATGGATGAATTATGAAATCTAAAAACTGAAGGTCTCAGTACCTGAACGGGTTTTGGGAAGCCCTGGAGCGTTCTGGATAAAATCTGGGGTGGCGATGGGTCCAATCTTCTCCCTCACTAAATGACCAAACAACCCGTGCAGAAAAGAAATGTTTTAGTGAGTATGCATTGCTTTTGGTGCTCTTTTATACGGTGATTTGGATAAAAGTGTAAATTCATAAATGGGGATTTAAATAGTATTCAGTAAAGTCCACTAATATTGACACCTTTGGTAAACGTGGGAAGGAATGCTGGGAAAAATGTCTTTATTGTTTAACCTTTTGCGCGTAATATATAGAGACTTAAAGGCAAAAATTAGCCCTGCTGTGAAGTGCTGTGTTAACAGAGCATGGACATATTCTCAGTATTCCCTATATATATATATATATATATATATATATATATATATATATATATATATATATATATACACATACACACTCACCGGCCACTTTATTAGGTACACCTTACTAGTACCGGGCTGGACCCCCTTTTGCCTTTAGAACTGCCCCAATCCTCCGTGGCTTAGATTTAACAAGGTACTGGAAATATTCCTCAGAGATTTTGCTCCATATTGACATGATAGCATCACACAGTTGCTGCAGATTTGTCGGCTGCACATCCATGATGCAAATCTCTCGTTCCCTCACATTTCAAAGGTGCTCTATTGGATTGAGAGCTGGTGACTGGGGAGGCCATTTAAGTACAGTGAACTCATTGACATGATCAAGAAACCAGTCTGAGATGATTCGAGCTTTATGACATGACGCGTTATCCTGCTGGAAGTAGCCATCAGAAGATGAGTACACTGTGGTCATAAAGGGATGGACATGGTCAGCAACAATACTCCGGTGGGCTGTGGTGTTTGCATGATGCTCAGTTGGTACTTATGTCCCCAAAGTGTGCCAGGAAAATATCCCCCACACTATTACACCACCACCACCAGCCTGAACTGTTGATACAAGGCAGGATGGATCAATGATTTAATGTTGTTGGTGCCAAATTCTAAACCCGACCATCCGAATGTTGCAGCAGAAATAGAGACTCATTAGACCAGGCAAGGCTTCTCCAGTCTTCTGTTGTCCAGTTTTGGTGAGCCTGTGTGAATTGTAGCCTCAGTTTCCTGTTCTTAGCTGACAGGAGTGGCCCCTGGTGTGGTCTTCTGCTGCTGTAGCCCATCTGCCTCAAGGTTGTATGTGTTGTGTGTTCAGAGATGCTCTTCTGCAGACCTCGGTTGTAACGAGTGCTTATTTGAGTAACTGTTTCCTTTCTATCAGCTGGAACCAGTCTGGCCATTCTCCTCTGACCTCTGGCATCAACAAGGCTTTTGCGCCCACAGAACTGCCACTCACTGGATATTTTCTCTTTTTCAGACCATTCTCTGTAAACCCTAGAGATGGTTGGGCATGAACATCCCAGTAGATCAACAGTTTCTGAAATACTTAGACCAGCCCGTCTGGCAACAACAACCATGCCACGTTAAAGTAAATTAAATTGCCTTTCTTCCCCATTCTGATGTTAGGTATGACCTGCAGCGGATTGTCTTGATCATGTCTACACACCTAAATACATGGAGTTGCTGCCATGTGATTGGCTGATTAGAAATTTGCGTTAATGGGCAGTTAGACAGGTGTACCTAATAAAAAGGCCAGTGAGTGTATGTTCCTCTTGAATTAGGTCTTATTTCTTATAGTTTGGCTGGAATAAAACATCGGTGCAAGGGTAAATATTATTATGATTTTTTTATTGTCTACAGAACAAACTGCTGTTGTTCAACGACTTGCCTAATATTAAAGTTTATATAAAAATAACCGTGCATTAGAATGTCCTTCAGCCAATCAGAAACAAGCATTCAACAGCCCTATAAAGAATTTTAGTAACAGTCTTCTTTGCTCATATTTACCAAGAGTGCCAATAATATAGTTATATTTAGTTTATTAATAATTATAATAGTTGAGCTCTGTATATATATTTTTTTAGTATTTAGTATGATGGTCTGACCTTTCCTCTTGAGTTCATCCATCAGCGTGCGGTTGAACTCTTGCTGGTCTTTCAGAGTGATAAAGCAGTACAGACACTCTCCTTTCACTGCATGAGGACAACTGACCACTGCAGCTTCAGCCACCGATGGGTGTTCAGACAGAGCAGACTCCACCTCTGCTGTGCTCAGCAAATGACCTGAGAAAACACACACACACACACACACACACACTACTAGTCAGTATGATTTTATTTTTTAAATAAATTCATTTATTAATTTTCCCTCAGCTTAGTCCCTTATTTATCAGGGGTCTCCACAGCGGAATGAACCGCTAGGTGTGTGATAATGTGTAATCTGTCCAGCAGGTGGCAGCAGTGAAGCAGGAGTCACTCAAGGAGTCTCTCACCAGAAACATTCAGCATGTCATCAATCCGGCCGGTGATCCAGTAATATCCATCCTTGTCCCGCCTGCAGCCTGAAGACACACAGAAACGGTACAATTGCATGAGCAAATCTTAATCCCTTTGTTCTGATAACCCATCTCATTTCATTGACATGAGAAAAACTTTTTTCTTTTTAATCCATAAAAATTATTAGACTTTTTTTAACACGATTTTGTTATAATTTAGAATACGTTTAATATTTATTCTTTTTCCTTCAACTTAGTCTCTATTTCAGAGGTTGCAACAGTGGAATGAACCGCCAACTATTCCAGCATATGTTTTACACAGTGGATGCCCTTCCAGCCGCAACCCAGTACTGGGAAACACCCATACTCGCTCACGTTCACACAAACACTCATACACTACAGCCAATTTAGTTCATCGAATTCCCCTATATGTGTTTGGACTGGGATGAAAAACGAAGCACCCTGGTAAAACCAGCACATGGAGAACTTGCAAACTCCACACAGAAATGACAAGTGAACCAGTCAGGACTCAAACCAGCGACCTTCTTGCTGTGAGGGGGCAGTGCTAACCACTGAGCCACCGTGCCGTGTGAATACATTTTAAGTCAGAAAAAAATAATTGTTTGAATGGACATGTGTGGCTATTTACTTCAAATAAATGAATTCAATTTCGAATTTCAAAAACGTTTTGTTTCTGAAAAAAATGGCACCTTATGCTAATTTGAGTGACAAAAAGTTTAAATTGTTTGTAAATGTATCAATTCAGCCACTGTTGTTGTGCCTTACCGTCTCCTGTCACGTAGAATCCTGGGAATTTTCTGAAGTATGTGCTCTCGAATCGCTCCTGATTCCCAAATACACCCCTCATGATTCCCGGCCAGGGCTGCCGGAAAACCTGAGACCACAACGACAGGTAATATTTCATCAAATTAGAATACATCTTTACCATTACATGTGCAAATAAAGCCCAGCAAATACTGCGATTCTGACCAAGATTTGCTCATCTCAGAATACAAAAAATACGTAAATATTAAAAGATTCAGTAAGACTTTATTTTTGATGGTCACTATTGCACATTTTAAAAGTTGCATTGCAAGTACATGCCAATTAATTCTCATTCGAGAATTAGTAGACTGTCTGCTTAATATCTGTTGATACTGCTCCTTCAACAGACATTTAACTGACTATAAGAAACTCTGCAAGTACATGTAGAGTGACGTCATGTAGAGTGACGTCATGCTCGAGTGACGTCACTGGCGTCACTGTCTCCGTTCGGTCACACACTGTGTGCTTGAAGTTTGGACTTGCTATTTACTCGCAATTTAAATCTTAATCATTAAATTCTTCCTCATTCGCTAAGTATTTGTCTCTCCTACTTAGGGTGACCAAACCCTTAATACATTTATACAAACAAAACTGCTTTAAAAACGGTCTGTCCCTCGAGCATCCGCCTGTTGTTTGTAGCTTTAGCCTGCTAGCGCCGCTGGTCAGCTAAAGCTACCGACCTCTTTAACCATACACTTTTGACTTACTGGCTTTGCTCTTTACCCCGTAAAATGTCGCTTCCGTCTCTGTCCTTGTGTGCAGGAGAAGCATCGATGGAGGCGTTGGAGCTGGAGCTGGAAGAAGTGGAGTCCCAGATCCGCGCGCTGGTGGTAAGACGGTCGCGGCTACGGGAACAGCTTTTCGTCGTACCTAATGCTAAGGCCGTCTCATCACCTAAGGTACGTGGAAATTACAACCACATCATTCCCTCTACCTCAACCCCGCGTCCTTCTCTGTCCAGGCCCAGCGCACCCGGGGCGCGGCTCAGCCAGGCGTCGTTCACGCCGACACCCGGCTACCACGGCGCCTGGGTGCAGCCGCGCAAGGTGCTTCCCAGATCCCGGGGCAGAACGTCTCCGCCTGTGTTCGAGATCTCCACGGAGAACCGCTTCTCCCCTCTCCGCGAGTCGGGTCCCGATGTGGCCATCATCGGTGACTCGATCGTTCGTCACGTCCGTGCCGCCTCCTCAAAAGGTAATAAAGTACGTACTTTCTGCTTTCCTGGTGCCCGTGTGAGAAATATTTCTACACAGATTCCAACCATCCTGGGCGCTGCCGAGAGCCCTGGTGCCGTTGTCCTCCACGTGGGGACAAACGACACCGGGCTCCGGCAGTCGGAGATCCTGAAGAAGGACTTCAGGAGCCTGATCGAGACGGTTTGACGCACCTCGCCCGCCACGCAGATCATCGTTTCTGGGCCGCTTCCTACCTACCGCCGAGGAAATGAAAGGTTCAGTAGACTTTTAGCTTTGAATGAGTGGCTAATAACATGGTGTAAAGAACAGAAATTGCTCTTTGCTAATAACTGGAATCTTTTCTGGGAGCGTCCTAGGCTCTTCCGTCCTGACGGCCTGCACCCCAGTCGAGCCGGAGCTGAACTCCTGTCGGACAACATCTCCAGACTACTTCGCACCATCTGACTAGCAGGTAAAAATTCACAAAATTCACACTATAGCCACTTAGACTCTTGTTCACCCCACTTAAACATCAGTAACGCATATCTGGCGAATCCTATAGAGACTGTGTCTGTTCCTCGTATTATTAGATTAAGAAATAAACGTACTGTGTGCTCCAGGAAAAATCTAGTAAGAATCAAACCAGAAAAACCAGTAGAAAGTGAAAATACAAATTTCGTAAAACTTGGTCTCCTAAACATCAGGTCACTTGCACCTAAAGCACTTATCATTAATGAAATAATAACAGAAAACAATCTTAATGCACTCTGTCTCACTGAAACCTGGCTGAAACAAAATGACTATATTAGCTTAAATGAAGCAACTCCTCCAGGATTCTTATATAAACATGAGGCTCGTCAAACTGGTCGTGGTGGTGGAGTTGCATCAATCTTTAGTGATTTCCTTAATATTAAACAGAGAAACGGACTTATGTTTAGCTCCTTTGAAGTATTATCGCTTAATGTTCAGCTTCCAGATACTATTCAAAAACCTATGTTATCTCTCGCTTTAATCACCATATATAGACCCCCAGGACCCTATGTCAAATTTCTAAAAGAATTTTCTGATTTTATTCTGACTTACTAGTCAAAACTGATAAAATGCTAATTGTAGGTGACTTTAACATCCACATAGATGACGCTAATGATACATTAGGACTCGCGTTTATGGATTTAATACACTCACTTGGGATAAAGCAAAACGTTGTGGGTCCAACCCATCGCTTAAAGCATACATTAGATCTAATTCTGTCTTATGGAATCGAGGTTATTGACGTAGACATTATACCACAAAGTGATGATATTACAGATCACTACCTCTTACTATATAAGCTATGTTTACCTGAAATCAGCAAACCCGCTCCAATACTCCGCCCTAGTAGAACTATTGTTCCGTCAACTAAAGATGAATTTATAAATAACTTACCTGATCTCTCTCTATTTCGTAATGCACCCGCAAACTCAAATGATCTTGATGTAGTAACCAGCAGTATGGATGCCATCTTTACTAGCACACTAAATACTGTGGCACCCATCAAATTAAAAAAGGCTAGAGAGATTAAAACTATACCATGGTATAATAGTCATACTCGTGCGCTCAAAACAGCAACCCGCGCCCTGGAACGTAAATGGAAAAAAACTAATTTAGAGGTCTTTAGAATTGCGTACAAAGACAGTATGTCCAGCTATAGGAGGGCTCTAAAATCTGCCAGGACCGAGCACCTGCGCAAACTGATAGAAAATAATCATAACAATCCTAGATTTTTATTTAACACCATCTCTAAATTAGCAAATAATCGGTCATCCTTGGAACAAACTACTCCACCGCAAATTAGTAGTGATGATTTCATGAATTTTTTCAGTAATAAAATAGAAGGCTTTAGACAGAAAATAGGAGATGCCAAACTTTCTGCACCGGCTTATACTCCAAATCCTGTAAATATTTCATTAAATCATAATAATAACCTACACTGCTTCAAAATCATAGAACATGAAGAGTTAGTAAAAATTATAAATAGCTCTAAACCAGCTACGTGTATGCTGGACTCAATTCCAACAAAATTACTGAAAGAGCTGCTACCTGCTATAGGAGAACCTCTTCTTAACATTATCAACTCTTCTTTATCTATAGGCCATGTTCCAAACTCTTACAAGCTAGCTGTTATTAAGCCTATTATTAAGAAACCGCAACTAGACACCAACAACTTAGCTAACTATAGGCCTATTTCTAATCTTCCATTTATGTCTAAAATACTAGAAAAAGTTGTTTCCACTCAATTATGCTCTTATCTGCAGACGAACAATATTTTTGAAGTGTTTCAGTCAGGTTTCAGGGCTCACCACAGTACAGAAACCGCCTTAGTGAAAATAACCAACGATTTACTCTTAGCTGCTGACCGAGGGTGCGTCTCGCTATTAGTTTTACTCGATCTTAGTGCGGCATTTGATACCATTGACCACAATATCCTCATAAATCGCTTAAAGTCTACAGGTGTCCAGGGACAGGCTCTACAATGGTTTAAGTCATACTTAACTGACCGCTACCAGTTTGTGAATCTTAATGGACAGCCTTCACAAATCTGCCCAGTAAAGTATGGGGTGCCTCAAGGATCAGTTTTAGGCCCTTTACTGTTTACAATTTACATGCTACCTATGGGAGACATTATTAGAAGACATGGGATCAGCTTTCACTGCTATGCAGATGATACTCAATTATATATTTCCACTAAACCTGACGAGACGTCTGAACTTTCTAAACTAACTGAGTGTATCAAAGACATCAAAGACTGGATGACCAACAATTTTCTTCTCTTAAACTCAGACAAAACAGAATTATTACTTATTGGGCCTAAATCTTGCACACAGCAGATCTCGCAACTCAATTTACAATTAGAGGGATACAAAGTTAGCTTTAGCTCTACTATAAAAGATCTGGGTGTCATATTAGACAGCAATTAAACTTTTAAAAACCATATATCCCATGTCACAAAAACTGCCTTCTTTCATCTGAGAAATATCGCTAAATTACGAAATATGCTATCCATCTCAGATGCAGAAAAGCAAGTCCATGCTTTTATGACTTCGAGGCTGGATTACTGTAATGCTCTATTTGCTGGCTGCCCAGCATCCTCTATTAACAAACTTCAATTAGTACAAAATGCAGCAGCCAGAGTTCTGACCAGGTCTAGAAAATATGATCATATAACCCCAATTTTATCCTCCTTACACTGGCTGCCTGTTAAATTTCGTATTGAATTTAAAATATTACTTCTCACCTATAAAGCTCTAAATAATCTAGCTCCTGTTTATCTAACCAACCTTCTGTCTCGCTACGAACCAACTCGTTCCTTAAGATCTCAAAATTCAGGGCTTCTAGTAGTACCTAGAATAGCAAAATCAAGTAAAGGAGGTCGAGCCTTCTCTTTCATGGCTCCTACACTCTGGAATAGCCTTCCTGGTAATGTCCGAGGCTCAGACACACTCTCCCAGTTCAAAACTAGATTAAAGACCTATCTGTTTAGTAAAGCATACACTCAATGCATCACCTAGCGGGTTCCACACAGGCTTCTGCATCTTGCTTATATACACTATGAACAGCAGCTACGCTAATTATTCTCTTTATTCTCTATTTTCACCTGGGGATACTCATCCCGAGGTCCTCAGATTAGGCGGAGTCACTGATTGGATCCAAGACCAGCGACGTGATGATCCCAAGGATTCCATATCCGGGACCAGGCCATATCCTGAGCTGCTGCTGCGCTGATGGTCGTGGGGAGTGGAGAACATGTGTCTGATTCCAGCGACGCTCCAGGGACAGACGAGTCTTCATTGAGGCCATCTTCCAGCATAAACCACGGCGAATGAAGTTCTGCACAAGACTTTTGGCCAGCGGAGAAATTAAAATGGTCGTGCCCAACTGAGTCTGGTTCTCTCAAGGTTTTTTTTCTTCACTCCCATCAGGTGAAGTTTTTTTTCCCTCTCCGCTGTCGCCACTGCCTCGCATGGTTCAGGATTGGTAGAGCTGCGCATCGATGAATTTGCTCATCAGTGTTTGAACTCTCAGTAATGATTAAATCACACTGAACTGAGCTAAACTGAACTGAACTGAACTTAAACACTAAAACCTGAACCACACTGTTCCAGTTACTATGACCATTTATGTGAAGCTGCTTTGACACAATCTACATTGTAAAAGCGCTATACAAATAAAGCTGAATTGAATTGAATTGAATGTACAACTTAAACTAACCCTAACCAAATAGTCTACTTATAATCTAATAAGAATTAGTTGGCATGTAGATGCAATATAACTTAAATTCAGCAAAATGCTTTAAAGGCACCATCAATATAAAGTGATACCAAAGATTCTTATAATCTTAGTCTAAAATCTGTAGTCTTTCATCATTGGTTTGACATGTTCACCGAATTTAAATTGAACTAAATGTTAATCAAATTTGCAAGTGACACAGCCTTGATTTTCAGTTTGGTTTGTCTAGAAAACAGCAGCGAGTCTTTAAAGGTGCTGTATGTAAGTTTCTGACTCTTCTAAAGCATAAAAATACCATAATATGTTTGCAGACATTTCAGAAACATGCTAAGCGAAACATTCTTGTTGATCTGAAAAACAATGATGAAGTCAGATATTCTGATTTGAAAATGTGCAGAATGTCTGTTTTTGTTTTGGTTGTCTTTGTTTAACCCGCCCAATGTCAGTTTAGCCAATTAAATTTCAGCACCTTGGGTTACCTTGGTGAAAAACATCATATTTCATTCATTTAGTCAGGAAGGCTCTCAAAGCATTCGCCCGTGACTGAAATGCGACATCTGGTGGACAGTAGCAGACTCTAAAATGAGATGCAGATTCAGAGTTCCACATGAGGTGCTTATTAATTAGCAAATAATATATATATATATATATATATATATATATATATATATATATATATATATATATATATATACCGATAGAGATAGTGAGTGAGATTTTTCCTTGCCCTGCCAAAATTTTCACTGGCCCCACCAAAAAAAAAGGGAAGTTAATAGCTATTTTTAGCCACATATTTTAAATAATGTGTCAAAAATAAAGTCCGTAAATCTAGAATTTCAATACTTAAAAAACAATTGTAAATATAAGTGTTATGCAAACAAAAAGAGCAGTATGGAGAATGTGGAGGTATTTTATTGCAGTTTGAAATTATTTAACAATACTTGTGAAACTGACGGCAAACTATGCATAACATCACTTCATTTTTATTTTGTCGTGTTGTTGCCACGTAAATGTCTACTTCCAAGATGTTAGAGACAGACATTTTCGCTTAGCCTTATAATTTGATGTTGCTGTCATGTTGCTGTTTCTACGCTGTACTGGTTGTTACCAGGTTACAAAAAAAATAAAAAATAGCATGGTTAAATCAATCATATGAGACGAATCGCAATATGTTGTTTACGACATTACAGAGAAGGTAGCATTTAAAGACTTAACACAAGCTTAAAATGCACAAATAGTCACAGACAAATTAAATGTTAGTGACTGACAAGGCAGCACTGTCCCAATCGGGCCAGTAATGATCCAGTCTACTGTCCCAAGTGTCTCTCACACTGGCCCTGGGCCACCGGGCAGTCCTTATTGTTGAGCCCTGATATATATATATATATATATTATGAGCGTAAACAAAGTGTGCAGGTTACATTGTAACACTGTGTCCCAACTAGGGATGCAACGATTATAAATTTTGGTTGTATGATTATAGTCTAAGAAGTAATCTCGGTTCATGGTCATCGTGATTATTTGCATTCACTGATTTCAAAACCCCACTAGTTTAAAACTAAAATTATTTAAAACTTGGTTTTGTAGTTCTAGCCTAAATACACATTTGTTGCTGTTTTAAAAGTTCATTTGATTGACTACATAAAAATCAGTGGATATTATTGATGCATTAAATGGGTAAAATTCCTACTTTTTACTGTCATTATCAATGCACTGTCGCCTTAAATTAGCATGTGCATTGTGGCGAAAATAGACCCAGATCCAAAACTATCACAGCTCTGCTGCTTCAGTGACGCTCACGCCTTGTGCTGACACGGTGCTATGGAGTGCAGTATGAATCTACATCTGTTAACATGGATGCCAAAAAACCATGCGCTGCTCATGCTTGCGGTGTGAAACAGGCTCGAGTCGTTCAGCACTCTCTCTGAAAACACTCGATTAATCTCGGCTGAGGGATCAACACTCGCCACATGATCGCTCTCATCGGCGTCATTATTTGTAAGAGGGTTTGCAGACCCTTTGTACTTTCCATTGCTTCTTCCTCAAACTTCAGCCGTATGCAATTCCCGCGGTCACAAAAACCCCGTCATCTCAACTAGGTGCGCCTGAAAAGCGTAACCACGTTGCCTTGCGTGTGCGTCCCTCCATTGGAAATAACGAACTTGAATGAGCTTGCCTTAATTAATAGCCTCAGTCATATGAGTCCAGTGTGCGTGGTTATTAGTCTCTGTGTACAAACTAGCAATATATGTCACGTAAAATGGCATTCAAATCATTCACATTAATAGCATCTAACAATGAATAAAGCACATGAGGTGACCATAGTCAGTTTTCTGTTGTTCAGCTGCAAGGAATAGAAACTGTTTCTAATATATACATTTCAGATGTTGGTTAGGACAGAAACTCCCTTTAATATGGAAAATATTCCTTCTATTGGGTGCTGTTGCTTTTATTTAGAAAAGAGTTAAATCAGCCTTTGTTGGTGTTGTCAATCTTGCAATCTGTACTTTTGTGTGTTTTGAACCAGGGGTGCAATACCTAGTTCATCCACTGGGTGTCAAACTTGCATAATGCACCTTTAATACATTGTGCGTTTTATTCTGTTCATTATAACAGAAGCCTGAAATGGATTTAGTGTGATAGAACAGCGCTACTTCTTTTCCACATGATCACAAGCTAAAGAATAGAAAGCTGTGGACTGTGGCATAATTAAAGCTTTGGTGTTTTTGTGCCCCATTGTGTCATTTCACTTCACGGGTTTCGGTCTTCCTCTGCTTCATACCGTAATGAAAAGAGTTGAATAGTTTAGCTGATCATCAGCATAATTTCTGCAGGAGTTTTGTTGGACATAATGACAACCACAACTCCCATGATTTTACACTCAAGCTGCGTCCCAAATGGCACACTATGCACTCATGTACTTGTGCACTTCAACACTCAACAGCATAGTGTATGTATGTAGTGTTGTCCAAAATGAAACACTAATGTTTTTTACTAGGCGGAAATCCAACCCGTTTCCCTGATGGCGTTTGACGGTTGCCAAAATTAGTAAGGTAAATCAACAAAGTACCAAATCATACCTGCCGTGAGTCTAACAGCATTCACCATCGGGAGGCGCTATAATCACTCTCATTGGAGAATTTCGCTTTCACAATCCAAAATAAATGAAGCTATCCAACATGTGCGCCCGATAGCTCCGCCCCTTCCACTACGTGAGCAAAACTGCGGTCGTTGAATGCATGAAGTGTCCATAATTCCACACTTCAATGTGCCGGTTGATTGAGTGCATTATCTGGGCAATGAAAGTGCATTCATTATTTTTGGAGTTTTCAGTGTGAATGCACTACTTACACTATTTATACTTAGTGGTGGGCAAAGCGAGGCTTCGTGAAACACTGAAACAGTCGAAGCAAATGAGTTGAAGCTTCGAAACGTTTCGAAACCCCACTCTACAGTGACACCTAGTGGTCATTTTTTATGTATTGCACTAAAACAGCTTCAGCGAAGACCAGTTGAGCAAACTGAGGCATTAAACCCAACTTTGTATGCTTGAACTTTCAAGTAAAATAGTGGAGTGGTTAATGTGTTTGACTTTCATGCGGAGATAATGGGTTCAAATCTAGACTGATGTTGTTTTGAAATGCTTTTATATCAGTTGGTAATGCTTTGCTCTTGTATCGTTTTGTTTCAACATTGGTCTGATATCCGAATAAACAATTTGTGAATAAATATGTCTTATTTTGGTCTTAAATAGGGTTGTTGCTAGATCAGAAACTGTGGCCTGAAGTTATCAAGAATTATTTATATTATTCATTAAATTTCCCATTTATTGTATTTTATTAATGTCTACCCGAACCCTAAACCCAACTATCACAGTATTGTAAAATTATTAATTATAGTTTTACAGTGTTACAAAAATGATGCTATATTGAGGGCATAACTGCAGCTGTATCCTATTTAGGCTACAGAAACATGATTCAAATACGTGAAACCATGATTTCAGAGTACCTGTACAAGTTGTGATTCAAACCCTAAACGTCATTTGAGGCACAGCATCAGCGTGCACACGCACAGTCCACTAGGCCATATGAAACATAGTTTACATGGACTTTGGCAGCCAAATGAAGATTCGCCAGGTCTCGAAACGCTTTTAAACTGATCCATGCTTTGAATCGCTTTAGTCACGTGACCTGGTGTTTCGAAACACTTTAGTCACGTGACTTGGGTGCTTCGGATCATGCTTCGGTGCAGTGTTTCGAAACACTTGCGCTTCGGGATCTCGACACTGTCAATGTCAGTTTCACGTCAGCCATCCCTATTTATACTATAAAATGGCATGGAATAGTGCATAAGTATGCGATTTGGAACTCACCTTCAGTCACAGAGTCATCAAAATATGTCTTTATGAATAGACGCCCTCTAGTGGAGAAACTGACCTACTGTAGCTTTAACTTGTTTGTTTGTTTTTTTTATGAATCAAGCTCTCACCAAGTATCCCTCCGCTTCGCCCTCTAATTCTTCTCCGTGTTCATTAAGAATGGCAGGCTGGACTCCAAAAAATGGGCACGTCTGCAAGGAGATGTTATGTTTATATCTGTTTAACAGAGTCATCAAGATGGATGTAAGTGATGTAATAAGTGAAGATTATTGTAAGGAGACTCACAGCAGATCCAGGTTTTAGTGGTGTAGCAGCTGGTAGAGGAGTCAGAACATGACCACCCTGACAAACACACGTCTATTATTAATTGAGTTGACCACTAGGGTCTTTCATTGTATTTCTGTTGCAAATCCAAACCCATGTTGAAATCTGATGCACCCGAAAAAATATGCAAGTTGCATGCAGTTGAAGTCTGTTTAATGGAAAGAAGTTTTTTTTTTTACACATTTCTAAACATGACAGTTTTAATAACTCATTTGTAATAACGGATTTTATTTTTGTCATGATGACAGTAAATAATATTTGACTAGATTTTTTAAGATACTAGTATTCAGCCTAAAGCTACATTTAAAGGCTTAACTAGGTTAATTGGGCAAGTTAGGGTAATAAGGGTAATCATTGTATATGAGTGGTTTGTTTTGTAGACAATTGAAAAAAAAAATTGCCTAAGAGGGCTTATAATATTGACTTTAAAATGTTCTTTAAAAATTTACAAACTACTTTTATTCCTGCTGAAATAAAACAAATAAGACTTTCTCTAAAAGAAAAAATATTATAGGAAGTACTGTGAGAAATTTCTTGCTCTGCTAATCATCGTTTGGGAAATATCTGAAAAGAAATTAACAGGAGGACCAATAATTTTGACAACTGTATATGGTATTCATATTTATATTTGGATTTCACATATAAAAATGTATGTCATATTTCAAAATGTTGCAAAAGTGGCCAGTTTCAACCATTGGGATTGCAAATATGTACAAATGTTTAAATATGTTAGATATCATTTTTTTATATACGTACTATTTGTAATTCTAATGGCTGAAAAAAAAAGTGAAATATTTTGAAATGTATGTAGTATATTTGGCTAGGCATGGGAAAAGTCAAGGTTTTAAAACTGCTATAATTTTCTGCAATACCGTTCCTTCGGTATGTGATCGATTTTATATTCACGTTTTGTTTACAACAATATCTCGAGCAGAAAAGATATCATAAAGAAATCTGTGTTTTAATAAATAAATGAAGACGGCAGAAGTCAATGATTAATTTGATTTATTTATCCTGACATGTTTACTGCACCAAAATACTTAAAATGTTTCTCAAAATAAAATATTTTGTGCTTAACAGGGAAAAAAAAGTTTTGTTTTGTTTTTACAAATTTCCATGCCTATATATGGCACACATTTTAAATATGTGAAATCCAAATATGAACTAGTATGTAATTTGCATGTATATCCATGCATCTGATTTCTATATGGGTTTGGAACAACTTATTTTGGTCTTTTTCAATAATAGGCAATTTATATTATAATTAAATAATATAATAATTAAATTATATGGCACATTTAAGACACACTGGTAATTTAAAGTGCTTTACATAAACAAGAATAAAAGAAAGAAGTATAAGAAATAAAAACAACAAAGAATACAAATGATTAAAACAGGTCTTAAAAAAGAAAAGAAAGACTCAATAGTGCTATAGTGAATTCCTTACATAATAGTAGGGAAAAAGTACTTTTAAGGTCAATGGAAACCAACAACAACATAGTTTAAAATATATTCCTTTTGTGTTCAACAGAAGAAATCAATCAGGTTTGTAAATGATAAAGTTTTCTTTTTTGGGTGATCTGTGCCTTTAAGCAGGTTTTAGGCAACTTTGGTTCAAGAAACTGGGTTTGTTTGATTGTAGTGAATGTTTTACCGTCTCTGTTTGCCAGAAGGTGTCGATAACCGGACAGCGCTGCTGACCCACAACATCATAATACCAAAGCCAAGCCTCTGGGTTAATGGGTTCACCAACCGTTCCCAAAACACGCAAGCTGGACAGATCATACCTGAGACACATCCAAGACAAACAACTGGTAAAAATACAACAATAATAGTGTGTGTGTGTGTGTGTGTGTGTGTGTGTGTGTGTGTGTGTGTGTGTATATGTGTATATATATACTGTTTGGTACGAGACTTTCGGATCAGGTGCGCATTACAAATCGAATAATTCAGACATCCCAAATGACGTGACAGGCAACATGCTGGCTTCTCTGCCCACCTCCAAACACTACTCCAGTCAGCATATGACTGCATATAGACTGCATATGACCTTAATCGGTAGTGGAAATGTCGGGTTTTAAGAAAATGTTAAATGTAATAGAGCCCCGTTACATTATTCCTTCATAAGCCCATTTCAGTCTGATAATTCCTGCTTTCAGAACAAATAAAATGGCAGGAGACAGTCAAATCAAGCAGATCTGTGCTGTCTGAAGAAAAGGTGGACATTTTCTGAAAATAAAAAATACTTTCAATCAAAGATTGTCTGAAACTGAGTTCCATATAAAAACTAGATTGTTCTTTTCTTTTTAGTTGTTTAACTGCTACAATATTATGTTTATTTTTTATAAGCAGCTTTTTGGTTTTGAGTATAAAGAAGTTTTGTTTAATTTGTTGCTAAGACGAAACCTTAGAAGTATAGCTCTATCACTGTTTAAAGTAAAAGAAAAAAAGCAGGATCATACTTTTATGATGTTAGTTTTAATACATTAAAAAATTAAATCAGAGAAATCCTCTGGCTTTTTTCTTTTTTTTTTGCTGTATTGAAAACTTACCGAACCGTGACACCACTGCGTCGTATCGAACCGAACCGTGATTTTTGTGAACCCCTAATATATATACATATATATATATATACATAGTTAAAGCTAAAAGTATATTTAAGTTGTTTTTTCAATTAATATTTTCAATAGGAAGTTTTACATTATTATATTTGTGCATATTCGTTAGTTTAGTCTACTGAAGCCAAATCTGGAGCTATCATTCATTCATTTTCTTGTCGGCTTAGTCCCTTTATTAATCCGGGGTCGCCACAGCGGAATGAACCGCCTACTTATCCAGCAAGGATGCCCTTCCAGCTGCA